CATATAGGCAAGCAGGGCGAGTGGGCAGGGATCTTGGCCAATGCTGGCATTGCGGGCACGCTGTGCGGATGCATGTGTGCTGCGCTGTGCAGAGCTGCGCTGCGCTAAGGTCAAGCAGGCTAGCGCTAGGCGGTAGGGCGCTGCCTGCATGCAGGGCACTGGCGGCCATAGCCGGGCCGCATGAGGGTGCAGGAGAGGTGAAGGGCGAAGGTGGTTCTTCGGAGGTGAAGGGCGCTGTGTGGGTAACAGGGAAGAGTGTGGGTGAAGAGGACATGTACCTAGTGGAGGTGGAGGTCGGCATTGGTGTTGACATCATCAATCGCTGGTAGTCAAGTTGTCTGGTTGCTTTCCTAGCTGTAGTTGTAGGATAGGCTGTAGAGTAGATAGGGCGCCTGGCGCCATTCACAAGAGAGAGCTACATTTGGGTTATGCTATTGGTGTTGCCCTGTTGGGCATGGACATTGACTCACGATTCTTCTGTATCATTCTCAATTGGATGGTTACTCGGTTCCATTGTGCTATCTGCTTTGGCTTTGACTACTTGGACTTCAGTGTGATATTGCATTCTGGATTTCTGTGCTTCGCCCATACTCATGTTCCTTGCAATTTGGTATCGGAGCTGGTTTGATCGCCACTTACCTTCGGCATGCTGGCGACATACAGACTTGGTGCGTTGACCATGCTTCTTCGCAGTGGGTACTTGTGACGTCAGGCCACGTTAGGTGAACGCCCTGGGTAGAGAGGGGTGCACCGGAAGGCTATTACTGCAGTGTATGCCGTGGGATACAGCGGAATGTTTGATTGATGATGAGAGCATGCTGATGTGGCATTGGACTAAGGTGGCACTGCATTGCGTTGTGAGTGGTACCGAGGTCAAGACCGGTCATCTAATGCAGCATCAGCTCAATTGGTGAGAAAATATGTGGTTGGGGGCAGCTATCTCCAGGTATGTTGATCCCTTACCTTATCTACCTTCTCAATCTCTTCTTATCGTGAGGAAGTGAGTCCAACTTGAGAGTCCTCTCCTTTGTGAGGTGTCGTGAGCGCTCTACCTTGAGAGACGACAATCTTCCCGGAAGCATCTGGAAGGAGAAAGGGCGGTGCCTCTGAAGGGCCCTGGTCGAAGCACTAGGTCACGGTCACCATGCCAAACCACAGGGAGTAGTGCACGCATGCAATGGCTGCTGTCCTGTTTTGGCACTTGCTGCGCTCAGATAGAAGTCTTGCCAAGTGTGCCAGCCTTGTATGAGACGCTTACCAGACCGTCTATAAACATTTCTGGTTGGGTACTCGGTATGATTCTGGCTGTGATCGTCGTCCTGACTGCGACGTTAAATAATTCCTGAAGAGATGGGGGCACTCTTAATATTCCTCCTGATCAGCCAGATCATCCGGGTGTAAGGCTCGTTTCCGTACGAGGGTAAATAAGAGTGGGCTGGCTGGCTTACTTGGCTCTGACTTGGGCACAGGGGTGGGCTGATACACACACGAAAACACTGCTTTGCTCAAGATGCTGTTCGGTATGTTGGATTGAGGGGAGGGTAGGTTCCAATTGGTGCTCAACTGTGTACACATACCCATCAATCATACATCTGCTACATTGTCTTTTTGTACCTTTGATTAGTTGGTTGACGGACTGCTAACCTCACAGACAGATTAGTGTAGGACTATTGTATGCTGCCATAGCCAGTTCTAACTAATGATGCTGTAAGTGAACCAATCAGGGTGCATCTAGACTATGTAGACAATCTGTGTGAATGTTGTAGGCATGCCACTTGATTCGGTATAGTAGGGAACTCGCCGGACACAACCATTTATAGAAAACTACGAGCCGGTCAGATACATGCTGCGGTAGGATTCCATTAGGGGATTCTAGTGCAGATACTATCTGTCTGACTAATGAGTGGGTCAGACCTTGTTGATGATAGAGCTGACAATAAGAGACTAACACGTGCAGGGGCATTAAGGGTACCGCACGTGTTCCAGGCCTTAGAGCAGGGAGAAGAAAGACGGTTACGTAGAGCCCGTGCTCTAGCAGCGGGGATAGCAGCAGCAAACGCAACAGCTAGAGAGCAGGCAACAACAGCCAGAGCAGCAGCGATGGCTAATGGCACAAGCTCTGCTGCGTCATCATCCGCGTCCTCGTCACAGACTAACGGGGGCCGGTTGGGAATGCCAACGAGTTCCACAAGTTCCTCGGGCACTTCCGGTTCCACAGGTTCTAGAAAGTCTTCTAGTCAAATGGCGGGTGCGCAGTTCAGCCCGTTGACCCCGCGTGAGAGGGAGCTCAGAGAGATCCAGCAGGTCGAGAGGCTCCGCCGTAAGTTAGAGCAGGATCTGAAAGAAGCTACCGATAGAGAAACTGCAATGAAAACTAGAGCAGCCAGGCTTGAAACTTTGGAGGCTGACAAGGCTGAACTAGAGGGCTTGGATGAGTCAGCATTGACTGACCCGCTAAAAGTATTGAAGAAAAATATGTTGTCATTGCACGCACACGTGGACAGCAAATTAGACTTCATGCAGAGCACTCTAGACCGGATCCTGGATGCGTTGACAAGGCCAGGATTCCGACCACCAGCACAATCGCCATTGCCGTTATCGGCGATGTCAGGCCCCTTTCTAGTTCAAGCTGGTACAGATCCAAGTGGTACGTCTGCAGCAGTCTCACAGACTGTTGCATCTTCTTCTTCAGGTCCAGCGGGGATTGCTACATCACCGCAACAACTTGTTCCTCCACAGGGACGACAGCAAGGTCAATGGTATCCTAAGACCCCGATGAAACCGCCTCTTGCCTTCTCAGGCGAGGGAAAGGGCGAAGAACTCAACACTTGGTTGAGAACAGTCCCGGTTTCGGTGAAGGCCAAGAGAACCTTGTTAGAGGACGAAGTGGTAACTGCGGCATCTTACTTGGAGGGTAAGGCAGCCAAGTGGTTAGATGGTTAGTTATAAAGACCGGGTATGGGAGACGCATGGCGGACTGGGCTAAGTCTCTGACGTTAGACCAGTTCATGGAAATGGTAGAAGCTCGATGGCATAACCCACAGGAGGCTCAAAAGGCCATTGATGCCATTAACAAACTAGACCAACGCAAGTTCAGGTCAGTTAGAGAGCTTATGACTACTGTTGAGAGCCTGATCCTCGTCCCAGGCATCAACTACAGCGATCAGTTCCTATTGACTACGTTTGTCAGATGTCTCCCAGAGAACTTTAGGAACTTGCTAGCCAGCGAGGCACGCACTGAGTACCACTTATTTGAGACACTGTCTAGGAAAGCCTTAGACTTGGAGGCCACGCTAGGCAATGCTCAACCCACCTCAGGGAACGACTCAAAGAAGAAGAAGAGTCCTCAGGAGTGGAAGAAGAAGGGGGCGAAGTTGATGATGGTTGAGTCTGATGGGACTTAAACTGAGATCGATGAACTCTCTGACCTGATGGACTACTCAAGAGTATGACGGCGAGGAGGTAGTTGAGGGTAACACCCTCGCCGCAGTAGTTAAGACTAAGGCGGCAGGCCGAGGGAAGGGCCAGCCTAGGGGTCAAGGGAAGGCCGCCTCCAATCAGGCCAAGCAGGCTGAGTGGCTAAAGGCAGGTCTTGAACTAGACGTATGGCGTGACCGCCGAACGCGTGGTGCTTGTATCAACTGTGGGGAATACGGACACTCGCAATACAAGTGCCATAACGCTAAGGTTACGCAGAAGGTAGCTCCAAAGATGGGGGCAACCTACTCCCAGGCTTCTAGCTCGGGAAACGCGTAGGGCCAGTGGAAGTATTAGCCGCTTCGACTCAAGATGAAGTGGGATTGATACCCTCCCCACTTCATGACAAGGCCAAGGCTAATGACCCCTTAGTCACCCTGCAGACACAACTAGACCAAACTATGCTCTGTACGTTAGATGTGTCTGAAGCCTTAGAAGACTTAGAGAATGAGTGGTCAAACAAGGACCCTCGTGAGTCTTGGGTGGCACTAAGGAAAGGTCCTAGAGGGGAACATTTTGTGGTGGAGGTCGATGTAGGAGGCCGCAAATGTGGTGCCTTCATAGACATAGGCTCCATGTGGAATTACATAAGTTGCAACTGTTTGGAAAGGCTGCACCTACAGGACCGGGTACGACACCTTAGT